AATTTGAGCCTGAGATTACTATATTGTGATCTTATGATCAAACCTAACAAGACAAAGACATGGCCAAGTGGTGCTGCTTTTAATATCTCAGAGTTAGCTGTAGGGATCCAATTATTTTCAGTTTGGATACATTTCCCCTTTATCAATATCTCCATGTGCATAAATAAGATGAAAGTGGCATTCTGGAATCAAAAAGAGACGGAACTCGCACCACTGGTAGACTTGTTCCATCTGGAAGTGTGCTGCCAGTCTCTGCCACGCGCATTTCTGATGTCGGGCCCCAAATCTTCCTATCGAAGGCGACATCTTTTTATCGGTTAAAGACAAGAAGGGAGTTTAGGCACAGAGGTGAACTTACAAATAATGAAAGAAAAGGAAAAAGGATGCTAAGAAAGGGAAAAGAATGTGTACTGAATCAGCGAGCTCGGCTCCCTTCCAAGTGGCATCAAAGAGGTGACGGGTGCTTTTAGTTGTGCTTAGAGCTTCCCTCAAGAGCTCTTTCACAAAATTGAAAACACAGTTCTCCACTTCCAGGTTCCTTTGATTTCCGAGCCCAAATTAGCAGCCTCCCAAGTCACCATGTAAACAGGCTACCTGCACTGGAATGCAAATAGCAACCCCTCCCGCAGACCCGCGCCTCAACGTGGAGACACAAAGACAGAGAAGGGGGACCGCACAGCACAGCCAAGCAGGCCACAGAGCGCGGCACCAGACAGCACCGCTCGCTCCTGGTAGGGGACTGTTTCCACCGCACTCTACAGTCTACTGAGCTTCTGAGTGAGACAGGGATAACAACAAAGAGCAGCAACTGGCCACAGCGTTGCAGAGTAACCCCCGAGACACCCCTATGTGGCCGTGGCGAGAGGACGTACAGATGGGTTTCCCAAGATGGTTTTGCTGGTGCTGCAAATGTCACAGCCCTCATTTCACTCATGGGCGTTATCACCCATTTCACTCCAAGCCTCTGATGTAACAGGAGTACCTGACACACGTGCCCATGACAACTAGTTTCCTTCCACCCATTCGTTTGTTCATTCATTCATTCACTCATTAAATTTCCACTTGACTGTTTTAATATCTTTACTTCTGAGCTTATCATTCCTGTATTTGAAAGGGTCACCAAAGAGCTTGGCAACTTCTCTCTTCAGTTATACCATGTGTCCTAGCACTGGAACGCAGAGCCCTGCCTGCCTGGTGGCTCCAGGCCCAGCTGCTCAGCTCCCTGCAACATACTGTGTTATGGTACAACACACAAGCTCACATGCTGAGTGTCGTGAAGTCCTGGCCCTACAGGCAGCAAACTGTTCCCTCCCTAAACTCCTAAAATCTGGTTAATTCCTTCCACTGTTGATACCTCTACACCACTTCAATATCCCCACTTAAAAATCAATATTTTAAGTGTGTGCGTAAATGCTATCAATAGCAATTAGAGATGGGACTTCTGATTCCACCCCAGATGTACTTAATTGTTGTAGCATTGATCTCTCCTCTAACATACTTCTTTCTCCAAATTAAACCCCCATTACAGAGGGGGATGAAGGGCATCCTCTCCCCTCCTGTGACGATAAATTTAATATCGAATGCACTGGAAAAAAAATGGCAGTTGTTGCAGAATCCATCCAAAAAGATTTTTTTTTCTTCCTGGGAGTAATTAAAAGATGCTTTTCTTGACTAATGATTCCCCTGTTTAGGAATGGGAAGTCAATACTGCCTCAGCTGCCGTCAGCTTCGATTGATCACAGTGCTGCTCAAGTTTGAACAGCAGTTCTCAGGGCGGCTGAGGATCACTGGAACCAATTACAAGCCGTCCGAAGCCGCTCTAATCAGGGGTGCAGGGACAACAAGCAAAAGGCCAGCCAGCTGCTCAAAGGCGCCTGTTTTCCTAACGTGCCTGCAGGTCTGGGTGACGCCAGTGAACGGTTGTTTCTTTGGAGAAAGATCTGCTGTGCTCTACCTCCCCATCATCCTGAATCAGCACGCGTGTGCGTGCGTGCATGTGTGCGTATGTGTGTGTGTGTGTGCGTGCATGCGCGCACGTGTGTGTGGGGGGGTGTTTTGGGGGTAGGGAAAGAAATGGCACATTTCTAATTATATTCCACTGTCAGAATGAATCTTCTGAACAAGATGGAATGGACTAGAGCTCCTCGGGAAAACAGCTGGGCCCTTTTTCAAAGAATTAGACTGAATATATTGCACTTGGCTTTTCCTTGGATGGAGATAAAAATTTATTAAAATATTTCTTTTTGGTATTACGTTAGGGCCACATTAAAAGAACCGTCTAGCTGTTTCTACTAACAATCATAGTTTCTGCAGAAAGGCCAAAGGGGGAGCGGTGGGGATGGGAGTGGAGGCGTCTTGGAAAGCCAAGAGCCAGCCTAGATATCCAGGAAATTCTAGTCCGGGTGTTCAGTGTCTCATTTCCATTTGAGGAAAGTGCAGGAGGTGATGAAGGTGGTGGCATTTGAATTACTACTATATTACATGGTGGAGTTGTTTTTTTCTTTTGACGACGTATCTAAGGCTTCCCTTACTGTGTGTTCCACCAGGACCAAGCCTTCCAGCTGGCCTCCTGCCTCTTGTCTGTCCCTTCCACTGACCCTGCTGACTACCTTCAGTCCTCCTGGAAACAGATGGAATGTACACTGACCACACAACTCCCCCACTGCCCCACTCCCAGAGTGGCCCTCACGAACCTGCCCCTGGCCCAAAGGCCCTCCTGGCCTTCTGCTCTGTTTCAGCCTCAACTATTCACGCCCCCACCCATTCACGGGAGGGTCCAGCCCCATGTGTGACAGATGCGCTGATCTGCACACGTTCCCTGCTGGCTGCGCCTTCCCAGGATGACGACGTTCCTGTCTTTGCCTAGGCCACTCCCATCCTCCAGCACACCTCCCCACCCAGCCCCCAGCCCTGGAAATCACCCCACATTTTAGAGTCCAGTTCAGATACCTGGGGCACACTGGCTGCCAGAACGCTGTGAATTCTACCCGGCCCTGGCACCCTTCACTGGACGAGAATCTTCACCATCACTGTACAACCACCACTTACCGTTTCTTTTCTATGAGAAAGTGCTTAATAAATATTTGCTGATTTAGTTAAAAACAAAACTCCCTGGAGAAATTACTAAAGGCACAAAGAAACATTCATTTCTCATACATGTTTATCTTCTTGGAAGAGAACAGAATTTAGAAATGCAAAAGCTACCTCTGGAAACATCATGCAATCACACGCCCACACCACAGCCTCGGAGAGGGATCACAACTCGGCACTGCTCTTTAGGGTAGCGAGGGGGAACCACGAAAAGGTGGGCCATCACTGCAGCATTCCGCTTGTGAGAAAGGAGGACTTGGAAACATGGCTCTAAAATACAGAGATGTGACGTACCTGCTGCTAGACAGAGGTTACACATGCAAGAACTTAAATATACAGATTAGAACTATAAATACCTGCACACAGTCCTCACGAATGAAGATGAAGTTAATATAAATACTTATCAGTTAAAAAATTAACTCACAGCTTTGTTTCTAATCATTCTAAATGGTTTCTAATTCTAGTGGATAGAAAAACAAACTTTCCTAATTCATGATATTAAAAATAGTGTATGTGTTTTACACAGAAAAAGTAAGATGAATAAAGTTCATTTTTTCCAGCTTATTTTGATGTTTTCAGCATCCATACACTAAACCCAGTCTAATTTCCAATCATTTCTCATTTTCAGACCCAAATATCCTTCAACAACACTATATCTATGAAAAATAGATATTAAAACATGAATTAATACTTTAAGAATGCTCATAGTTGACGGTCCAGATGATCACTATGTTAGTGTCAAACAAATCAAGACGAATAATTTTTAAAGTCTATTGTTTCTTCAGTTTGTAAGAAAGTTACCTGTATTTGCATTATATAGTGTAACTCATCTATCAAGGCTACGCAATTTATGTACTTTAAAACAAATATAAACGAACAGACTTCATGTACCTTTCTTGCCCCCCCCCCCCATAGTAATAATACAGGATTAACAATGCCACCAGCTTTGTTCTCTGAAGTGAACCAAAGGTGGCACCACAAAGTCACTTTCAGTGTTAATGATTACAGTCCCCAATGCTTCTCACATTATCACTGCCCAGCGGCAGAAGCCGACTTCCACGGCGTGGCCACAGATCACCACTTTCATTTCATCTGATCGCCAGCAAAACAAATCCGAGGGATTTAAAACGTGCTAGTGATGGGAGACATCTCCTCTCCCTCATCTCTTCACACACCTGAGAAGTGACGGCTGAAAGCAGACCTCAGAGCCCTCCTTCGCACATGGGAGACAAAACGCAGCAGCAGCTTTAGACAACTAGAGATGAAATGGCCCCTTCCGCCTCTGTGAGACGGGCCTCCTCAGAAGACGTGCCATTTTATCGCCTCTTAGGAACATTAAATATGTATGTGTACTCAAAAACGGTTTATAATAGCTGTAAATGAAAAATGAGAAACTAAATGCCCTCAAAATAAATGCCTTTTTTCATACTGGATAACAATTAACATTAATGAGGAGTCACCATATATTATGTTGAACTTGGTTGATTAAATGTGCTAGAAATACATTTTAGAAAATAAAGTATATGTTGTTACCATAAAAATCACTTGTGATGGGGGGACTCAGTGGAGCAGATGCTTACCAAAGACACAAGCATAACAAAGTTAAAGAATCAAAAATTCATGATTAGTGTTAACAGCATAGCTTACGCCTATTAGAAATGTATTAATTAAAGTAATATATTCATAAGGTTAGAAGCTTAATACATTTCTAAGAGGGGGAGAGAAATCCCCAAGGCCTAAAAACAAACATAAAAAATTAAGGAGTTTGAATTACACACGTCCGCTGAAGACCAATTTTAAATATAGGCATTTCCATGCTGGGCTAATGGGTATTCCTACAGGTTGCTGGGACCATTCCAACTGTGGCTGTCATTAAGGTCACTTCCAGTTGGCATCTCCGAGGTTCCTACCTTGTGGAGTCTACGGACGGCTTCGTCCGCCCCTGGCTGCTCTCTTCCCAGACGCTGTTGGCCAGCTCGTTCCCGATGGACGACATCACCTTGATGAGCTCAATGGGCCAGTCATCAAGGTCCAGAGAGCGGACCCGGGAGAGGTGGGTGCCGAGATTCCGGTGGATCCCTGAGCACTCGATACACATAAGGGCTCCCAAGTTCAAACTGGCCCAGTTAGGATCTGTGCGGAGAGAAACGGGACACCAGATGCAATCAGACCACCCCACTGGTTCCAACTGTCCTTAGAATCTTTGAAACAAAACCAACCATCAGTCAAAGCCCACATCTCGCAGACCTCCCTAGAACCACATGACTTGAAAATGCTCCCTGGCCAATACTCAGTACAGTTTTAGGTGTCCTGAATGATGTGGCATGTTGGTGGCAATTAAAAAAAAAAGTTTGGCTTAAGCCACAGCCTTGGAATTTCCCACACAATAAACAGTTGCAAGTGTTAGTCTGCACTTTCCAATAATTTAACATTCACCTTGAGAGGGCTGATGTGCACGGAAAACAATCGTGTTACTCGGCACCCACCATGGAAGCTGCTGATCTAGGGAATGAGAAGGGGGGCCGAGGGGTAGCTGGGTGGCACCACGGCTCTGGTCATTCCCAAAGTGGTAGTGTCCCTCCCTCACAACCATCTCGGCAACCACCAGCACATCAAAGTTTTCAGTAGGCACACAATGGGCATGCTTGAGAATTTCAAAGATGAAAGAGGCACACTAAGATGAAAAAATATGGTCTTCAGTAATCTTATTTAAGGGTAACGATTGAAGCAACCCACAGTTCTCCAGTCTTCCCTGCTGGGAAGCTGGTGGGCAGGGTCCTTTGGTAGGGTCATTACTCAGCTCGATCAACTCCCCCTTGCAGAATGAATGGTCACATGCTTTAGGCTGTGACACTGGACCAAAGACATGTTTGTGCAGGACAACGAACAAGTTCAGAGGACAGCACTGGGATCTCTGAACTAGATCTCTCCCTGTGGGACTGGCTCACATCATCGGAAGACCAAGAACTTGGGCCCAGTGTTGACTTCATGCTTGAACCTACAGCTGATGTGCAGAGACAAAGGTTGACCTTGATAGCCAATGGCTTTCACCACTGACAGAAGCAAATAAGGCTTAACTCATCCAGGAATAATTAATATTTACTCCAGGCACACTTGAAGAGTCAACAGAAAAGCAGGTAGCTGATGTCATATTTGAATCATTGGGGAGACGTCCTTTGTTCAATAAACGGCAAATGACCAGGAATGGCTTTATGCTAATTGACCAGAAACCAGCCAGCCATTTATTTAACATATCAGGAAGGTGGTGACAGATACCGTGGGGGAGATAGGAGAAGAGAGGTCTGTGACCTCCGAGGTGTTCTGGTGGGGAAGAGGAAACCTATGCCCCAAATAAAAAATAAAACAAAACAGACAAGAAAATGCAGGGACCAAATGCTGAAGCGCACAGTCACAGAACAGCACACAGGCAGCCAGGGAGAGAGGCCAGCGACAGCAAGTGCAGGGTTGGGGGGTCCTGCGCGGGGCAGGGACACGGGCTGGACTGATGGGTGTGGAGGGAAGAGGGGGGTGCAGTGAGCAGCTTGTGCACCCCCCCCCACCTACTATGGTTCTCGTCTCGTGTCTACGTGCTTCCCTTCACTGGCCACCTTGGCTCCTGTACCTCCACCAACCCCCGTAACAGAAGAGCCAAGGTCACCAGCCACCTCCATGGACCCCAGTTAGCCATCATTTTCCTTGACCTCTTGCTGGCAGCTGACTGCCCAACTCCCTCCTCCAGCACTGAGTAGTGAGCGATGCCTTTTTGGTCAACCACCTCTCAGGATTTTTCTCCCACTTTTCTGGTTGCTCTATCTTGATTTCTTTCCTAACTTTTCCTCCCGAATCCGCTACTTACCCCAGGGGTCCTGCAGGCTTGTCTCTTCTGATTCTAGACTCTCTTCCAGGCAAACTCCACCCAACCCCTGGCTTTAACTGGAACCCAAATGCTAACGACGACCTACAGCTCCCCCTCTTCCCTGCTCCCGAGCTACAAACACAAAAGCACCACCACGCATTTCCACTTACATAACTTGCAGCTGCCTCCTGTCAACATGTCGCCCTGGAAATGTATCCTTCTGCAGGGTCCTTCCTACCTCAGCAAATGGCACCAGCACTCACCCAGTTCTTCAAGCCAGGATCCTGGGAATTGCCCTTGACTCTCCCGTCATTCCCACAGCCCATCACGAAGTTCCCAGTCTCTCTCAAGTCTACCCGCTCCTTCTTGAACCTGTAGCTCCCCCCAGTCTTGTCACCACCACACGGGGTGCAGGAGCCTCCTGCCTGTGCACCACTCTCCACACAGCAGCCGGGACCTATTATACGCGTAAATCTGGCCATGCTACGCCACCGCTCAAACCCATCTGTGGCTGCCATTTCCCCTTCAGATCAAGCCCAAAATCCCGTCTAGCAAAATCAGGACCAAGCCCGCCACCTGTCTCCCATGAGCACCCTTCAACTCCTGCCCACCTGCGCACAATGCTCCCCTCTGCCCGCTCTGCCTCCGCCCATCTCCTTCCTGGGGGTGTCTTACTTACCCGCCCCATTGCCCCCACGTGCAGTAGCAGGGTCCCCGCTGGACAGGCTCACAGCAGCCTGGCTCTGGCCTGGGAGACCCTGACAGGAAAGGCAGGGACCAGGCATGTGAACACCTCTTCAGGGCCCACCTCTGCTTATAGTTTTCAGTAATAAAAGAATAGCTGGACTTAAGCAGAGGATGCAGCTACAAGGCAGGAGGAAGTGATGGTGGCCAGGGTTGGGGCAATATTTACCAGCAAGCGACAAAGGGCTTCAGTCTGGTTGTGGGGCAGCACAGGCAATTACACAAAATGAGACAATGCCACGGGCAGACCCACAGCAGGACGGCTGGCACAGGTGCTGGGAATGCTCAGACCTACATCAGGGACCTGATCGTCAAAGATGGGTGTGGACTCTGCAGTGTGTGCTGGCGTGTGAGCAGTGAATAGGACCCATGTGCCACACAACAACCCCCGAGAGCTGCCAGCAACTACAACCCCAGAAGATGCCGGGCTCGTATTTCCAGCTAAGTTCAACGCCAAACTCATCACCCCACAACCTCCTTCTGCTCCCCATGCCCGCTGCATCTCTCTTCCTCCCTGTGTCCCCACATCCCACTCATCGCCGAGCACCCCCACACTGCCTCATTGTCACCGCTTACACCGGGATCCCTTCCATCGCTCACCTGAACCACGGTGAATGCCTCTCCCGCCAGCCCGCCACCCTCCACGCCACTGCGACTTATCTGAGGAGCCCAGAAACCCAGTTACGCTGACGCCTGTTCAGGGCTTAGTGCACTGTCCGTCCTCCCCTCAGCCCTCAGCAGCTCCTGGACACTGTGCTGGCCCACATCTGAGGGAAGATTGTCATGTGTGGGACAGGTTCCAGTGACTATTCTCAGATGTCTGTGAAAACCAGAAATACTGAGGGTGGAAGGGGAGTGAAGCGTTCCAGTGCCCGGTGAGCACCACCCCACGGGTTGCAGGGACACGGGTAAGACTGACGGCGGCAGGGATGTGCGCTGCTCTGAGCACCCTCTGCCTGGGGCTACAGAGGGGAGGGCCTTGCCTCTGCTCCAGCAGATGAGAAAGACTAACAAGCGGACCAGAGTGTCCATCTAAGTATCACCACTGGCAATTTCCTGTGACACACCTGAAAACTGACTAGGCTGCTTCTGCATGTCTGGGTACTGGGGCCGAGACCCTCCCCTGTGGGTGATCCCAGCCTCCTAGCATGGCCTTGATGCTCTGAACCATCTCCTGCCTGCTGCTCTGGCTTTGGGATCCCTCTTTCTAGGGCGGTGAGCCCACAGCCCCAGCAGCCCCCGGCCCTGCCATGTGTTCTTGGGCCCCTGTGCCACGCATCTGCTGGTCTGTGAGTACGTGCCTTTCCACCTGTCTGCCCCTGGCAAGTTTCTTTCCCGCCTTGGGCCTCAGCTCCCTCCCCTGAGAAACAAGGCTAATAACTCCCATCCTCAAGGGGTTGTCATGAGGATTAAAAGCTATGAGGTACTTAGAGCAGTGACTGTCACGTGGGAAGTACGTTAGGTGTGGGCTGTAATTACTTTTGTTCCTCCACGTATTCAACCAATACCAATGTGCCAGCGTCTGGGGACACAGCAGTGAATGCAACAGAGAAAAATCCCAGCCCGCAGAAGCAGAGGACTTAGGTCCTGTGGGGGCAGAACAATAAGGAAGAAATAAGAAAACGATATGATACAGCACAAGGTGATGAGAGCCAGGAACCCCCCGGGGGAGCAGGAGACCAGGGAGTATGGACACATGTGTGCAATTTAAAACCCAGGTGTCAGGCAAGGTGGTGCTGGGCAAGGACCTGGGCCTACGGGGATGATACAACAAGAGAAATCAGAGCAGATATGATCCTGCTGCAGGTTTCCCTGTCCTGTCTGGTGGTGGTGGTGGTGGGTGCCAGTCCCCTCCTGTGTGCAGACCTGGGGTTGACAAAGATAAATAAGACAGGATCCTAGACATCAAGTAGGCCATGGGAGAGAAAGGCCCGCGAACCGTTCATACAACACGGTGGGAGCAGCTGGCAAGTGATCAGCTCTGACCAGGGCTTCGCGGACAAGGGCACAGAGAGCAGCAGAAAGGCTAGGGCTGCCTCTAGGGGATTGTCCGTGAAGGTCAGGCATGTTGGCAAGAACCACGTACAGCCCAGGCTTCGGTATCCTCAAGGGCCCTCAAAGGTGGACTCTCCTTGGTATGTTCCTGACAGAGGGTTGGCAACGGGAGCCCTCAACGAAGACTTCCACCGTCAACCAGGTCTGGGAAGTGTAGGCTGGGCCATGTTAAACAGGCGTCTTTACAGCGGAACGTCCCAGAAGCAGGGATGTCCTACAGCTGCAACTCCCCGAGAGGTGGGTGATGTTAAGTTTCCTAAATTCATGGGATCGCAGAATCCCTGTAAGATGGGCGCCCCCGCAGCTAAGGGAGCTCAGCACCCACTCTGGAGACAGTGCTCTGGGATGTACCGGGTGTGAAGGGAAGACAGACAAGGCTCCTGGCCATCCGGAGCACTCTCAGCAAGGACCACTGGGGCCGGGTGTGTGTGTGTGTGTGTGTGTGTGTGTGTGTTTCCATAGCTCCAAATCCCATGCCAAGCAAAAATCCTTGAGCCTCGCCCCTGCTATATGGCAACATAGCTGAAGTGGTGGGACGGTGTTCCTGAGCCAGTGAGAACTTCCGAGAGGAAGTGAGCTTGGCAAACCTCTGCAGGTTCTCAGGGGAAAAAGATCTGTAAGAACGCATTCCAGAATGTTAACACTACTTGTCTGTATGGACTGAGGGTCTTTTGTTTTACTTTGTGTTTTTTTTTGAGACAGCAAGAGGTTGAGAAAAAGACAGAACCCCTGTCTTGGACAGCTCTGTCTGCTCTCCCCGTTTCCCTGCCACGCCTGGTCTCTCAGCTCCGTTTACTTCCAGGAAGCTCCTTTCACACCACGACTTGGACCCGTAAAGCCCACATCCGCCCACATGGGGCACCCGGTGGCCCAGAGTTGTTCTGCATAGCTCTCCCTGCTGACCCCCACATCGCCCACAGGCTTGCTCAAGCTCTGCTGAGGCCCAGGAGGGTGGTGGCAAAGGGAGCTGGTGTGTGAGCTGGCTGTGGCCTCTGGCCCTCCCGGCCCTGCTCTGTCCTGGTCGGAGGTGCTTCTCATAGGGTTTGGCTCTGCGGTGCCCACCGTTATCTGTGCAGCAAAGAGGGGCCCCAGCCTGCATTCTCCATGGGTGGAGCTCGGGCAGAACCACGCCCAGGTCTAGCCAGCCTGGCTCACGAAACAAGGAGGCTGGTAAAATGCTGATGACAAGGTGAAGCACGTGTGCCGAAGGACTGTCCGAGCAGGACAAGGCTTGCTCCGTGGCCAGAGAGAGGCGCACTGGGGTTAAGACTGGAACGCCCTTCCATGAGAGGAACAGGGCCAGACTAGAGGAAACTGGTGACTCTGGAAGTGAGGACAAGAGCCCCTATTGGCCCTTCTCCATGGCACCTGCTTTGGTGGTCACTGGGCGTGTGCCCCACAGCCACGACCAACCACGCCACGCACGTGAACTGGATTTCCTTATCCTCAAAACACTACTTAACAAAGCAATATGAATGGAAACAGTTTATTGAATGTCCAATGTCCCCAGCACCGTGCTCAGGACAGGGATTTAAAGAATGAAAAGCAAGTCCCTACCCTCAAGGATATGACTAACAAAATGACATTCTCACAGAGAAAATATTATTACATATTGGACAACAGAAAGCATGAAATAAAACTGGGCTATTCCAAGGCACAAAGCAGAGACTATGAATTCTGTCAGTTCAATCACATGCTTTAGTGTGTAATGAGTTTAAGATTAAAAAAAACAAAAGACATCATTTCATGGTAAAACCCAGAACATAGGATTTTATGGAGGAAAAAAAAAAAAAAAACCCCACCAGAAATCTCTGGGCAGGAGTGAACCAACTGTACTCTATTTTTATGGAGAAAACAAACAAGTGATCACTGATTAAGCAAAAGGTTGTTTCCCAGATGTGGCCATGGGGCTGAGTCCTCCGCACCCCGGGCGCCCGAGGCCTAGGAGACTCACTGTGCGCTCACAAGTTCAAAGCAGCAGCAACCTATAGTCAGTGAGGCTTCTGTGTGAAGGGCATTGTGTTAAAATAAAATTCAATTAAAAATATTGCAATTCCTTCAAAGCTGTCAACCCTTATCACCAAACATGACGGCGCGGATCCCCTGCCATCTCCTGAGGCCAAGCCAGCCCCACGCCCGGCACACTCACTCTGGGTCTCGCAGTCCACGCAGTGGGAGTTCCCGCGGATGTTTCGGATCGACTGCAGGGCCATGGCCTCACTCTGGCTCGTCAGTCGGGACTGGACAGAGGGAAGACAGACACGAGAGGTAAGAACCCTGGGAGAAACACCCGTGTCTGCAGTAGTCCCCCCTTATCTGCGGTTTCGCTTTCCATGGTTTCAATTACCTGTGATCGGCCTCGGTCTGAAAATATTAAATGGAAAATCTCAGAAATAATTCGTAAGTGTTAAATCACATGCTGTCCTGAGTAGCATGATAGAACCTTGTGTCCTCCCACTTGGTCCCACCCGGGAACAGAATCGCTGTCCGCTCACTGCTGCACAGAAACAGACATACTGCCCTAGGTTTCGGGCATCCACGGAGCTCCTGGAATGGATCCCCCACAGAGCAGAGAGGACTGCTGTACTGATAACGTCAGGAAAACCAAACAGATCGTGAGCAAATACAGGAGGAAGGCAATCTTCAGACATTCACTTCTCCTTGGACATCCTCAGGAAAGAGCACTGCCGAGGAGAATGCGTTATGCACTGCGAGGAAATATCACACATTAGGATTTATCCGCTGAGATGGACCCTGCTGGAAATGAGCGAAGCTGGATCATTTGTGAATGAACGAGAGACCAGCCGTCACCTGGAGAATGTAACTGGTTGATGGGCTTTTACTGCCACACATCCACTTGGGAAGAGGATTAAAGCATGGGAAAGAAACAATCTGTTTATAAGCCAAGGGTCAGGGCTCAATCAGCACTGTAAGACGTATCTCACGGTTCCTCATCAGAAAGCCACCCACGCCACCCGTCACGGCTGCGAGGTGCACTTTTCATCTACAGACTCGACAAGGCTGGGGGAATTTACTCTGAAACTTACACTTTACCGTCTCCCTTAAAAAGGATTAAATATCACATGCTTATTGCAGCAAGTTTAGAAAATACCAGGAGGGCAGGAGGGGAGACATAAAAATTACACTATGGTATGACCATCCAGTTAAGCACTGTTCACATTTGATACCTGTTCTTCCGGCCTTTTCTCTAAGCACGTGTATCTGAAAAAAGCCAGCATAATATATGTTGCTTGGGAATCTGCCTCTTTAGCCTTATGGTATCTGTTTGTCACTCACTGCTGTGACATACTCTCTGACACCATCGTTTTAAATGGCTGCACAGCATTCCACCCATCGACGACTTATTTACCGAGTTCTCTCTGATGGACATTTAGGTGCTCATGATTTTTGTCTATCTTAAACGGTGCTGTAAAGAACATGCTTACTGCTCAATCTTTGTACCAATTCATGATTATTTATTAAAGATAAATTCTTGGAAGTAGAGGTGCTGGGTAAAAGGATATGTACAGGATTCTTTTTTTTTTTTTGCTGGCTGGTACAGGGATTGAACCTCAGACCTTGGTGTTATCAGCACCATGCTCTAACCAACTGAGCTAACCAGCCTATGCTGTATAGTTTTTTAAGACTTATTTATTAAGGGCCGGCCTGGTGGCGCACTGGATAGTGCGCCGCTTGGGAAGTGTGGCGGCGCTCCCGCCCGAGGGTTCGGATCCCACATACGGACCGGTTCCCGCTCACTGGCTGAGCGAGGCGCGGGAGCAACGCCGAGGGTTGCGATCCCGTTGCCAGTCCCGGTCTGGTACGGGGGCGACACTGAGGGTTGCGATCCGTTGCCGGACACGGAAAAAGACAAAAGACAAAAAAAAAAAAAAGACTTATTTATTAAATATACAATACTATGGTTAAAGAAAAAATTGATCAATTTCAAATGACTCTTAGAATAAGCTTGATTTTTGTCTAAGAATTCTTCATAAATTGCACCATTTCATGTCATCTTGTCTGATGTAAAGCAATTTATTGCTTACTACACAATAATGACTATAATTTATTAACTATACTATTGTATAATTTATTAATTACTATTGGCTTTTGATTCCCTTTGGTTAGATACCTTGGTATTTAAAGTATATTTAGCAATTTATATTGGCAGACACACACGTACACACACACACAGGGATGTGTCTGTCTGCCTGCCTCTGTTGCTTGCTCTGTGTACCTGGATAATTTCTGTGGTTGACTGGTCAGTTGGTCAGTTTGTGTGTGTGTCTGTTTATGTCTTCACCTACACCAGCTATCAACTCTGAATTATCCACAGGCAGCTGAAATACTGTGGAGCTCATTCTCAACTGAGTCTGTATGTCCCCCATCAAGCTATTCCTTGTGGACTGTATTTCTGTGCTTTACACTACACCCTTGTTCAGCAGGCTCTCCCCAAGAACACACGTCTAGTGAGAGCAAAGGGGTGGCACTGGAAGGCCCGTATTTGCGTCAGTCTGGCAATAGGGGGAGATGGGCGGCTGATGCTATCCCGGACCTTCCGGAGTCAAGTGGGGATGGCATGGATTCAGGGTGTGATGTGAGAGGCTGTGATCTTCCCATAAAATCTGGAGATGCATCTGTCTATTCAGCAATACATGCCCCCGACTCCTGCTCTGAAACAAAATCCCTATGCTCTGTGGGTGGCACATAGTTGTTACTTCCTGGGACAAGGAGACCCAAAAGCATCCTGTGTTTGCTTCGGGAGCCACGTCGTGGCTGTGTGTGGACGTGACCTGGTAAAACCAGGGTGCTCAGGATGAAAGGCGGTGGTTCTCCCCACCTTGGGTATAAAACATCCTTAAAAAAGGGAAGCAAATTACATTATAATAATAATGACTGTGGTCTGGTTTACCCTGGTTAAAGAGGGTAATAAAATGAGACACTCTATCTTTCTGAAAGACAGACTCCCTTCTTAATGACAAAGCTGAACATAAATCATTGGCAGAAATTTCTTTAAATGGTTACAAATGAAATTGCAGGTCAGTGGGCAATGTCCTTTCTCTTAGTTTCTAGTTGATTATAGTTTGGAAAATTAAAATGTTCTCCAAGAGTCAAAATGTACCAGCAAAGGGGTTAAAAACATCCAAGCATTAAAATAATAAAAGCGAAGGAATCCTTGATGGGAAAAGTGATTTTTGTATATGGAATATCACTCGACAGTAGCCCAGAGAACACAGGCTAAAAATTTTTTTTCTGTCTAAACATTAAATATTTTAATGTTATTAAATTAAATACACACTAGACTTTATGGGCAATTTAAAAAACACATTATTTAAATACACATTATTAAATAAAATACACACTAGACTTTATGGGCAATTTAAAAAACAGGAATTTAGCTTCCCCAAACTCCCTGCACGCTCACATACGTGCATCTACTTTTCATTTATGTCTCTAACAAGAGTAGGTTTTCCAACTTGACGTGGATTTCAATTTGGAGCATTTATGAAAGCAGACAGGGTATCCTTTTACATCTGTATCTCTTCCTGGGTAGCCTCTGCTCATAACAAAAATAAACGTGGACACGTAAGCCACAAGAGTCCAAAAGATTCTATCACCTGCAATAAAAGGCCACTTGCTCTCTTTTTAAGTAGCTGAGAGAGTAAAGATTTAGTGTCAGATACTCGGCCATGCAGACACGGTCAAGCTAGGATACTAACACATGACGCATGGCGCATTTAGAAACAGTGTTTCTTTTTTTTTTTTTTTTTCCCTTTTTGTCTTTTTTCGTGACCGGCAACGGATCGCAACCCTCAGTGTCGCGCCCGTACCGGACCGGGACCAGCAACGGGATGGCAACCCTTGGTGTTGCGCCCGCACCTCGCTCAGCCAGTGAGCGGCCGGTCTGTATGTGGGATCCAAACCCTCGGCGGGAGCGCCGCCGCACTCCCAAGCGGCGCACTGTAGCAGTGCACCGTAGCAGTGCACCACCGGGCTGGCCCAGAAACAGTGTTTCTTATCTTTTCAATTATTTAGCTTTTTGCCCACAAAGAATGTCCCGGTCTTGTCATTCACACACATCATCTGATGCTTTCCCCTCCCTGGGGCCTTACTCTGGTCTCTGTTTCCCTTTAATGATCAGTGGCCTTGACTTTTTTGGGTGGCTCGGGGGTGAGGGCAGCTGCCGAGGGTCTTACCTTATTCTTGCTGCTCTCGCAGGACTGCAAGCTGGCGAGGATCTGGCTCTCGATGGCTTGGACCCACGCATCTCGTTCTTCGTATGTGGTGGCTTCAAAGTGCCACGTCTGGCCAGTCAGGGACACAATGATAAACTCAAAGTTTTCTTCTTGTTCTGAAACACAGTGATGGGGACGAAGAGTTGAGCTTTCATGCGACAGCAGCCCCTCTGCCATCCTCTGTCATAAAAGTGCCTTTTGGCTGAGTCGTGCCTGCGTGAGGCTCGCGGCACACAAGGACGAGACAGCTACGGCAGCAGAGATCTGAGCCCGCACACCTCCAAACACTCGAGATTTGGTTCCTCAAGCCAGCGTGGCTTAGCTGGGTTTGTCAGCACTCAGGGAAAACAGAAAAATGGAAATCAGCGTGTGGTGTCAGTGCCTCTGCACTGGGCACGAAGCAACTTAGGAAAATAACTTGGCACTTATTGCTGACCCTCCACGGTATGGGAGGAAAATTAAGCCGGCACTGCTAATCTCGGGTGCAGTTTTAACTTGTCTGTAAGTGCCCGTGCGACGGTCCACAGACACACCACAGCAAAGAGCAGTGCCGCAGGTGTCTGTTCTTCAACGGCAGAGGACCTGTCACAGTGGGAAAGGCGTTCACTGCCACCACCTTCAGGCCAGGACAGCACGTGGGACTCCAGGCGACAGAAGGGCCTCGATGGAGACTTGCAGGCCCCACACTTGTGGTCGCTGTGGGGCAACTGTCCAGAGCAGTGAGAGAGACTTGTGTTCACATCCTGCGACACCACTTGCCTCGTCTGGGTCTCTGGACAAGTTCCTCAACTCCTCTGAGGCTCCTTTTCCTCACCCACAAAACGGAGAAAAAGGGCACCCACTTGCTAGAGCTTCCAACTGGTTAAGTGGAGAGTGCTCACTCCTGCCGACCCAGGGCTGGGGTCCACCGTGTCCTCATTCCCACTCCTACTCCCAGCCCCCAAGCCCCAGGAGAGAACGCACCCCCCACCTAAAGCGAAGCCACTTACAGATAGCCAGTGAGTCTTAAGCTGGATTTTTAGATAAAACATCTCACTTGATTAGTACTTTCAAGCACTGGCCTGTGAACTAGCTGCGTTATAATCACCTGGTGAGCAACTGTTACTAATAATGGTAATAATCTGCCCACCATTGTACTGAATTTTTCTCCAGGCTCCCCTGTCCTCAGCGCCCCAGCCCAGCCTTACGCACCGCGTGCTGCCCTCACCCCACCGTGCGCCCCCAGCCTCGTGTCTCTGAAGCCACCACCTCCAGCCACCTCTCCTCATTCCCATGGGCCTTGTGAGACATACAGTCCCCTTCTGTGACTCAGAGATCCCTTCCATCTGATTCCCTCGGTGCTGCCAAGCCCCAGTCCCAGGGGTGGGGACGACGCCCTGGTACGGGATGTCAATCCTTCTCAGCATGTGGCTTCTGTAAATAACCACCAGTGGTGACCACAGAAACGAGGCTGTGCTACTTGTGCGTGACATCTTCACGTACTCTGGAGATGATGGCACAGTGTTTAGAGTCTAACTGCCTGGTGAGCTGGACCTAAGGCTGTGTGACTTGTTCCCAAGGTGCCCGCAAGGTGGGGCAGGTGGGCACGCCATCTGCAAAACCGCTGGCTTCTCCGTGACAGCACCCGGCCTCAGGGCACGAAATGACATCTGACGAGGGTCCATGGCCCCCACTAGCCTGTCCAAGGTCTGTGACTCCCCCAGACATTACAAGCCATTGCACCAAGGGCAGTCTGGGCTGTGGGGAGGAGCTGGGATGCAGGTGCCCGGGGGAGGTCAGGCCTGTCAGGGTCCTCCAGGGATGCCCCATGACATGTGAGCAGACGGGGTGCTCACCTGCAGGGTGTGTGAGTATGCTTCCCCTCTGAATCTCTTTGGTTCCTGAGTTCTGGAGAGCTCTCATGATAAGAATCCAGAAAGTGAGGGTTTTATGAGGAATTTTACCCCAATCTATTAGGCTCTTGAATTTGGAGAACTAATGAGTTTATGCAGCAGCAGAACACTTCACCTGCTGCGGAAAGGGAGGTGGAGGAGGCTGGTGTGGGGGCCTGTCTGCAGGTCCCCCTCCCCCACCCCCAGTAACATCCTTGGACATTTGGGGAATTGTTGGTTTTCTCATTAAAAAAAAAAAAAAAAAAATCACTGTGACTTTCAAATTGGTTTCTCCATGGCTGACCTGCAATTATACCTGGAAATTATTGGCTGAGCCACTGCATCTGTGGGTTTTAAAAGGCCTGGCTTCCTTATCCATGGGCTTTTATGTCCTAATACTATGAATTATAACCTTTCCCACACGGATTTCTTGTAAGATAGTCCCAATTCATATATTTTATGCAAAAATCCTAGTGAACTGATAGGAAAGGCAGGAAAGAACTACATAATTCACAGTTAGACCATAAGGAAAACTTGGTAATTCATGGGTGGAATGTGACAGATTTTCATTAGGAGATCTACTGAACGGGCTCACACTTTTTTTAATCTGTGAAATTCAAATGCACATATAAAAGCTCCTTCTGATCAGGATTTATTAGATCTTCTAGTGAAAAAAATGACAACCATTAGCTTCCCAGTTAAATTTCTGCATAACTGGTCTGCCAGAAAGCTCTCCTGTTTAAATTTCTAGCCAGAGTCATGAGCGGCATTTGCCAGAACTGGAGGCAAAGAGCGGAATTTGCTCGAGGCTGGAGCAGGGCTTAGCCACTGGGGTTCTCAGCTGCATGGCCCAGAGCTGGGCACTGGGCTGGGTGGAAAGGACCCCAGCAGCAGGGCCAGGCCGTGCTGTCTAAATGTCTCCACATGGTAGGCACAGGCACACACATGACAGAACACAAAGTGATGAAAACAACAATAGGAGTCGAGATAAAGTACATGGAACGTGTGTATTTTTGCCTCATTCCGGTGCAGTTGTTGCTACTGTGCATCTCCCACTGCAACACTCAATAACTCACGTAAAGACAAGACTCCCAAGTTAAATCGCTAAAGCACAGTTTGGCTTTGCCCTATTAAGTATGTAAACAAAATTTACCTACACAGGTAAAATCCACTTAAGGTAACAAATAGATTTAAGCGTTCACAGGAACATCAGAATCTGTTCCTTGCTAATTTCCAAACATGCTCCCCACAGTATCTATTCAACAGCTTCTGAGTCACCTTAACAGTTTATTCCACCACCTATCTTCTCCTTCTATTTATGCTGGACACAGATTTCCTTTTCTGGTACCTTCTAGGTTACTAAACATTTCTGTCCCTCCTGTCAGTTCCTGGTACTTTCCCTCCCTGCTGTCTCTGTGCTTTCTTTACCTGGCCCCTCACACCTTCTTGGGGACTTGGATTCAGTGATGATTTCCTCACTCTATTCCAAACTCAATGGCCCTCTTCTACAGACTTCCTGACCACTGCTTGGGACATCCACCCCATAGACAGACACCTTCCGGAGCTCCTGCCACCCTCTAGAGATGACCTCTTTTCTCTGTTCTCCACGGGCAGAGTTCTCAAAGCAGGAGCGCACACTTGCATCTAGCTGTTCACCGCTCTCTTCTCTCTGATGACGTTTTCCTGTCGTCCGTCCTACTGAAACCTCACTTTCTAAGATTACAGATGGATGAACAGCCAGGGCCCACGGGCAGTGCTCAGCTGCCTTCTCTTTCAGGAATATCTGGTGTTGATGATGGCAACCACCACCTGGCAACTTTTTCCTCCTCGGTCTTCTGGGATGCTCCATCACCTTGAGTACTCACCTGGATGTGAGCAAGGCATTTATCAGGGTGAATGAGAGGGGTGCCAGTAGAGTTGCATGGATTAAGCACCCACTAGAAAATTCCATCCCGAGGGTACTAAGGGCCGTAACCTGGAAGGAGATTTGTAGCGGCTTGTCATGGGATGTTTACCTCTGTCTTGCCTTGTTCAACGTTTTTATCAATGACGTGGATGAAGACCCATGAAGTCTGCTTATCAAATTTTGAGAGGGAGGAATTTTGAAGGGATAGCAGATAAACTAGGGTTTTAGCTCTAGGATGGGTTGAAATGTCTCACACGTGACTAGGAATTCCTTCCTCACACTTCAACAGCGAGTGGAGCTTGGGGGAGATTTTATCAGCAGTAACTATGCAAAGGCCAAGCAACTGCAGCGGACAGCGGGCCCATGGTTAGGAAGTCCACAGTGAGAGGCTCTCTATAAAAGCGAAGGCCACGAGGGTGTCACCTGCAATGAGGAAGGTGGTGTTGCCATCACACCTGGCGAAGGCCGGTGAGCACCGCAGGGGAGCTCCATGTCTGGGCGCACGCACTGGGGACACAGAGGGATGCCACCTGTGCTGGGAGCCCTGGGGAGTCCACCCACAGCAAAAGGGACAATAAAGACTCCACAGACAGACGACTCCCCTCAGAACTACCCACAGATGGAACACAGTTTCCATTCCCTAGAGGGTTTCAAGCCCACATCGTGTGGTGAGAATTCAGCATCTCAAAGACAAATGGCGGGGCCCTTCCAACGCCGAGATCCCATGGGAGAGACACAAGAGAGCTTTCAACTCCTTTGTAGCTCAGTAGCTTTCAGCAGGTGCAGGGAACCCTGTGCTGAGGGTCCCATGGCCAGCTCCAGGCTCTTGGAGGATAATGCTGGGATCAGCTAGCAATGCCTGCCCTGGGGCGAGGGCCCACGTGGCATGCTGCCACCTGCTCACTAAGCTCAAGTGCAGCTTTCTCTCCAGCTCTTTAACCCCTTTCTTCTCCTCCTACCTGGCACCTCTTCGTGTGGCCTTTAGTGAAGGCCCATTCCATGTGCAGCTCACGGTCCTCCCTGCCCCGCACCCCTTCTTAGAGGTACAGTGACTTCCAAAGAGTAGTCACTTCTGGCAGGTGTGTACAATTCTCAAATCTGTATCTCCGATCCAAAAATCTGATCAATTTTGGATTTTTAAATGCCTATGGATATTTCTCAAATATCTTGTTCTCAGCATCAACTTTAATATGCATCAAATAGATTTGCTATAATTCTCAAATGCTCCTCCTTGAGTTCTCTACTTCTGCTAACGGTTGCAATGCTATTTCTAGTCAGAAAATCTCAAAATCACCCTCTTTCCACTGCTATCTAATCAGTCACAGCACTGCTTACGTTA